GCAGGAGAACAGGGTTTGATCCCTGATCAGGAAGATCCCCTGAAGAAGGAAATGGCTATCCACTCCAGTATTCCTGCCTGGGAAATCCCATGGACAGAGGAGCCTGGTGGGCTACAGTCCATGGGATCTCAAAGAGTCAGACACAACTGAGCAACTAACACTTTCAAGCTTTCCTTCTGCCTGGTGTGAGGTCGTACCTCGTTGTAGTTTTGGTTTGCATTTCTCTGATAATTAGCAATGTTGAGTATCTTTTCATGTGCCTGTTGGCCATCTGTGTCTTCTGTAGAGAAATGTCTCTTTAAATCTTCTGCCCATTTTTCCATCGATTGTTTGTTTTTTTGTTGTTGAGTTGTGTGAGCTGTTTGTATATTTGGGAAATTAAGTCCTTGTTGGTCCCATCATTTGTAAATGTTTTCTCCTAGTCTGTATATTGTCTTTTCTTTTTGTTTATGGTTTTCTTTGCTGTGCAAAAGCTTGTAAGTTTGGTTAGGTCCCATTTGTTTACTTTTGTTTTTATTTCTGTTGCCTTGGGAGACTGATATTGGTATGATTTATGTCAAAGAATGTTTTGTCTGGCTGTAGTTTTAACAGTCCAAGCAAGAGCTCATGATGGCCTAAGCTGGTACAAGTGGTAGTGAAAACAGAAGAAAATAGAAGGATTTGAGACAGTTGTTAAAGAATTTTTAAGACTTGGTGAATTACTTAAAAGAGTAGAAAGGAGAGACAGTCAAGGTTGATACCCTGATTCCTGCCATGGGCCATGGGTGATGGCAGCGTCATTTGTGGAGACTGGGAGTGTAAGAGGAAGAGGAGTGTATCGGGTGGAAAGAGAAAGAGCGAGAGATGATGACTTAACTTGGAACAGTCTGAGCTGGAAATCCCTCTGGGTCTAGAATCAGGATGACAACTTGGGCTGGAGATTTAGCTTCATGACTCATCAGCATATGGTTGATACTTGAAGCCATGGAAGTTGATAGTGTGGATGAAAACAGCCAGCTCATCCACTATCTATCCATACATCCATTCATCAGAAAAGGAATTTTTGTATGTCCTCCAGTGTGCATGCAGTATATGTATGAAAGTTTGAAAGTTTAGTCGCTCAGTCATGTCTGACTCTTTGCAACCCCATGGATTGTAGACTACCAGGCTCCTCTGTCCACGGGATTTTCCAGGCAAGAGTACTGGAGTGGGTTGCCATTTCCTTTTCCAGAGGATCTTCCTGACCCAGGGATCGAACCCAGACCCACATTGTAGGCAGACACTTTACTGTCTGAGCGAAAAATATCACATATTTCTTTTTCTCAAAAAAAAAAAAAAAAAAAAACCACCATCATTGTGAGGCACTTTTGATTTCTGTCTGTCTTCACCAGTTGCTCATAGGGTTGAGTGGCTTTGGCCACAAGGATGTTTCCTCAGCTCTGTTCTTTTGCTCTTTCATTGTGAACTTCAATCTGAAAGACACACCCACCCCTGAATCCTCCAAGGCAAAGTTTGACATTCAATCCTAGCCTGGGGCGCTCTGGTTTACCATCAAAGCATGAGTGGGTCTTATTCGGCCTTTCCCATGAAATTGCTAAATGCTGTTTCATTAAACGTGGCGTGCCAAAGAAGTGTATTTTTATTGTTGTTTTTTAAAAACCAAGAAAGAAACCAAAAAACTCTGTGAAACAAGTATCCCCAAATTCATGTATGGTATCAGGAAGATTGAGAACAAAATGACTAGTGTTCTACAAAGCATAAATAAGAAAAATGGAAAAGAATTTTTTCTTTAAAAAAGGAAGTCCCTAGGTATACCTATGGCTAATTCATGTTGCTGTACAGCAGAAAACAAAGTGATAATGTAAAGCAATTATCCTTCAATTAAAAATAAAAAATTTTTTTTAAAAACCCTGATATTGACATGAACTGTCAGATCAGGTAGAGACTTCATATCAAAGATGATTTGAACTCATATGTTGTATTCAAACTACCCATTCCCCACTCAAACCACTAAGTGGATACCATATCAAATTCTCTATGAATGCTGGAAGCTGAGGAAGGGAATTGCCCCCATAACTGTGACTCACAGTGTTGATGCGATACACCAGTAGCCATTGCTCTGGTGACAGTGGCCCCGTGGCAGAGGAAGAGGGCTGTACGCTGTGAATGTCATCTGATGACGCTGCCAGGAAGCTAAGGCAACTATGGTCATCTTGTGGGAGAGTCAACATCACCTGTTCTTTTCTTTTGTAATTTATTTTTATTTATTTATTTATTTTTGACTGTGCCGCACAGCATGCAGGATCTTAGTTCCCTGACCAGGGATCAAACCCATGCCCCCTATGATGGAAGCATGGATTCACAGCCACAGGACTGCCAGGGTTTGTCCCAACATCACCTGATTCTTTTACTACGTCTGGCCCGCGACCTCTCAGGGATGGTCCCTCTGGAGGGCATCTCCCTGCGTGGTATGCCCCTGGGCTGCCTCCTAGAGTGTATGAAGACCACAGACTGTGGTTTTCACAATCATCAGTTTAAGGTGACCAAACCTTCTGGTGAAGGTTCTGAGAAGCAGTAACCCTTCCATCGTGGGATCTCAAGAGTCACAGGCGCCTCTGAAGAGCGATCATCTTCTGAGTTGCATCTAGATGCACTGGGAGAGTCAAGAGGCAGAGGCGGTGACAGCTGAGAGCAACACAGCCTCATGTCCTTCTGTTATGGGCACTCCGTTATTACCATGCCTGTGGCATCACATGGACAGTTATTAATATGTACATAAGGATTGAACAGGCTTCCCAGGTGGCACTAGTGGTAAAGAACCCACCTGCCAATGCCGGAGAGCATGGCAACCCACTCCAGTGTTCTTGCCTGGAGAATCCCATGAACAGAGGAGCCTGGCGGGCTATAGTCCATGGGGTCATAAAGAGTTGGACATAAAGAGTGACTAACACAATACTGCATCAGTTTCTTAGGGCTGTCCTAACAAATGACTATGGCTAGGTGACTCAAAACAACAGAAACTAATCATCTCACTTCTGGAGGCCAGATGTCCAAAGTCAATGTGTCAGCAAGTCCATGCAGCACCTGAAGGTTCTGAGGAGAATCCTCTCGCCTCTTCTTGGCTTCTGGGAGCACCATTCCAATCCTTCTCTGTCCTCACATGCTCTCCCTGTGGCCTGCTCCCCTATGTCTGGTTCTGTGACAAATCCCCCTCTCCTTTCTCTTCGGATACCAGTCACTGGGTTCAGTGCATGTGTTTAGTCACTCAGCCATGTCTGACTCTTGTGACCCCAAGGACTGCAGCCCACCAGGCTCCTCTGTCCATGGGATTTTCTAGGCAAGAATACTAGAATGGGTTGCCATTTCCTCTTCCAGGAGATCTTCCCGACCCAGGGATTGAGCCCGTATCTCCTGTGTCTCTTGCATTGCAGGTGGATTCTTTACTTGCTGAGCCACTGGGGAAGCCCCATTGGATTCAGGGCCCATCCTAAATCCAGGATGATCTCACCTTAAGACCCTTAACTTGACTCCATCTGCAAAGACCTTATTTCCAAACTCACATTTTCAGGTACTGGAGATGATGACTCAAACATTTCTTCTTGGAAGCCATTAATCAACCCACTCCAGCCACCAATACTAAAGTTTACTCCACATTCTGTGTCCCACCTGAAATGATGCCCAACAAAGTTATCCAACATAGCTTATCCAAGGTTCTATGACTGAGACCAAAGGACAATAATGTACTCTAATAACAACATACTAATATAAATGTAGACACAGAATGTAGAAAGAATTCTCACAGGTCCATAATAAATGACTGAAAATGATCAAAAGATTTGAAGAGGCACTCGCAAAATCTACACATATGCCCAGTGAGCGTATGAAAAGATGCTCCACATCATCACTCATCATCAGAGATTGGTCCATGGGAGGCACAAAGGGGCTTAGAATTACAGTACTGTATACTAAATAAGAGACTTTCTACACTAAGTCCCCTACATACGAATGAGTTCCATTCCAAGACTGCGTGCATAAGTCCAGTTTGCTCATCAATCCAACAAAGTTAGCCGAGGCACCCAACTAACACAATAGGCTATATAGTACTGCAGTGTCATAGGTTTTTAATACTTTTCACACTAATATTACATAAAAAACAAACACAAAAGATAAACATTTTTAATCTTACTGTACAGTACCTTGAAAAGTACAGTAGGGCCAGCTACCACTTTTACGCAGTGTAGGGGAGTGCAGGTTCAATTCCTGGTCAGGGAGCTAAAACCCACATGCCTTGTAGCCAAAGAATCAAAACAGAAGCAATAGTAACAAATTCAATAAGGACTTTAAAAATGGTCCAGATTTTAAAAATATTAAGAAGGCAAACAACAACAAAAGATTATCTAGTAGCTATTTATATTTAGAGTTGTGGCGGGTTAGTGTCTGCTTCCTTACCTTTGTGCACAGGCCTGGAGGTTGGCTAGAGTCACTCAGTTCTGGCCCACGCATCTCCCTGCAGTCAGCTGCTGCTGCTGCTAAGTCACTTCAGTCGTGTCCAACTCTGTGCGACCCCAGAGACGGCAGCCCACCAGGCTCCCCCGTCCCTGGGATTCTCCAGGCAAGAACACTGGAGTGGGTTGCCATTTCCTTCTCCAATGCATGAAAGTGAAAAGTGAAAGTGAAGTCGCTCAGTCATGTCCGACTCTTCGCGACCCCATGGACTGCAGCCTACCAGGCTCCTCCGTCCATGGGACTCTCCAGGCAAGAGTACTGGAGTGGGGTGCTATTGCCTTCTCTGCTGCAGTCAGCTAGCTTGGGCGTGTTCTCCTGATGGAGATTCACAGGTGCAGAGTACAGGTGGAAAGGCTTGAGTATTTTTCAAGTCTCCACTGGTATCCAGCCTGCTACCATCCCACAGGCCAAACAATTCACCAGCCTGCACCCCAGGTCAGGGTGGTCACAGGAGGAATCTGCAGCTGCAAGACTGCACTTCGGAATCAATTCAACGTTAAGAATGACCGAGGCCGTTTGCCAACAGTGTGTCATGTTTATTGGGTGGTTCACAGGTCAGCTAAAACACATGAAGGGGAAAGACCGGAGGCCATCAGTCATGTCAGGAAACAAAATATTTAGCAGTTCTTAGCTTCAAGTGTTGTCTTCCATCACAGCTTGAGGAAGACGGGCCAGGCCCTGACAGAGCTTATGGGTGCTGTTTATTTTTAGCAACAAGAAGCACATACATTTATTTAACCAGTGACTTTTAGGACAATCAGCAAAAGAAAACTGTATTTCCAGGGAGCCAAGACAAGAAAATCATTTATACAAATTAAACTGATACAAAATACATTATAAAGAGAACCACACATACAAAAGTCATTAAGTTGGTCAAAGAGCAAGAATGCCACAGAACAACCACGCTGAGAACACTGGTGTGAATTCATTTCGGTTATGAAACTTATGTCCGAGAGAGTCTGAGTTAACACATTTACTGAGGTAAAGGCACAATCACTTCCACATAGTTAATGGGGAAGAAGCCAGATTCCCCATGCAGAATTCCTTCATACCAGTTTTCATCTATTTGATTGGTTAATGTAATGATGTCCCCTTCTTTAAATCCTAGTTCTCCTTGGTTTTCAGGCTCAAAGTCATAGAGACCACGACAGCAGGGCTGGTCCATGGGAACGTTAGAACCTGTCCGCATCGTGTGGAGACAAAAAGCACATGGTTAACATGACAGAGCGTCCGTGGGGCGTTGCAAAGGTGGGGAGTTGCAGCAGGAACAGCAGGCCCCTGCCTGCCTTCCTGCTGAGCCAGGACAAGGCTGGCTTAACCCCCATTGTGGGCGCTGTACTTGTGGCCTCTGCTCCCCGCAGCTCTCCCTCCTTCCCTAGCTGACCTCCTGAGCCCATGGCTTTTCTCATCAGTTCTCCTAGCCAGAAAATTCAGGCCCAGCCCCTGTTCTTGAAGCAGCTGTTCAGCTCTGCCCGCAGCCCAAGGGAGGTGCAGAATTTTACAAGGGCTAACCCCTGCCCTCGGGGAACTCATAGTTTCTGGAGAGTGGACAACACATGAGAAACATCTGAAGAACAAAGATGAGGGACTTCCCTGGTGGTCCAGTGGTTCAGACACTGTGCTTCCAATGCAGGGGACACGGGTTCAATCCCTGATCAGGGAACTAAGATCCCCGCATGCCGCACAGTGTGGCCAAAAAATAAACTGATAAGAAACCAAGGCCAAAACAACAACAAAGACAAGGTAGTATATCACCTATAACTCAGAAAAGAAGGAAGCAGAAAAGGCCTGGATGGTCAGGGCCATATTCCTAGAGCTGGGAACCAGGGGGTGGAACATGGCGGGGTTTAAGGCTAGAGAGACAAGAGCAGAATCTCTACAGACCAGCCTGCAGCCTTGGGATTGTTGTACCAAGCCAGCAGTTCTCAGGACAACATTTTTAACATAATTATTTTTTCATTTCAAAACAAAAACTAAACATGGTAAAAAGATAAAGACAAAAAGAGAGAGTAAATACATGCAAAATTGACTGCTAATGAAGAGGTGCATGTGTGTCTGCTAAGTTATTTCAGTCCTGTCTGACTCTGTGTGACCCATAGACTATAACCCTCCAGGCTCCTCTGTCCATGGAATTCTCCAGGCAAGAATACTGGGGTGGATTGCCACACCCTCCTCCAGGGAATCTTCTGGACCCAGGGATCGAACCCACATAGCTTACAACTCCTGCATTGACAGGCAGGTTCTTTACCACTAGTGCCACCTGGGAAGCCCCAATGAAGAGGTCGCCAGTGTTAAATTAACGTGATGGCATAGAAGCTTCCAGATAACTTTATGAATATATTTATGTATGTATTTAACATATAATTATTTTCATAAAAAATATTCCTATTTTATTACTGTGACTATTTTACAGGTTACTTTTAATTACTGAACAGTTGTCAACTATATCAGGATAACATAATTTCTTTATTGTTGTTTTGTTTTGGCTGCGTGATGTGGCATGTGGGATATTAATTCCCTGACCAAGGATCAAACCCCTGCTCCCTGAATTGGGAGCTCATAGTCTTAACCACTGGACCACAGGAAAGTCCCTAACATAATTTCTTTAACTGATATCCTATTATAGGATATTTAAAGGCCTTCCTTTTCTTCCTTCCTTCCTTCCTTCCTTCCTCTTTCTCTCTCTCTTCCTTCTACATTCCTTCCTGTTCATTTTCCTATTTGTTTCCTCTTGGCATTCATTGATAACTCTTTGAAAAATATCATAATATATGTGTATTTACAAATAGGAAACATTTAATTCCTGAGGGTAAACTTCTAGGAGAAAATTTGCTCTTCACAGACATAAATTTTTCCAAGACTTTTAAAATTTACTACCAGTATATTTTTCTGTTTTCTTTGTCTTAAAAGTATTAGGTGCCCCTAATATATTATAGACTTTTATACTATAAATATTAACCTCGTATCTGTCATGTTTGATATATACACTATTTCCAGCTTATTATATGTATTTTTTCCTTTCATTTTGTTTTTGGAGTGTGTACTGGCGGTGGGGCAGGGATGGGAGTTTCTGTTTTATTTTGGCATCCATGCAGAAATTTTAAACCACATAAGCAGTCAAAGTGGTGAAACTTTTCATTCATGGTTTCCCTTCCACAGTTATATATAAATATTCAACTAAATTTATCCCAGTAATTTTTTAAAATTAATTTTTAATGTGAAGATGTTTTCCTTCAATCCATTTTTGCAAATAAAGGTATTATTTATTTTTAATAATGTTTAAGCAGCTATCTGAACACAATTTATTAAATAGTAATAATCCATTATTCTCCACTGATTTCAATACTACTTTTGTCTTTATCATATGTTTAATTATCATGTGCACTTGGATCTATTTTAGCATTTTCTACTTTCCCCCACTGATGCATTTCAGTAACTGTACCACACCATTTTAAATAGTGTAGCTTTAAAGTAAATGTCCCTTGGACTGCAATCCTAAAGGACAGTCAATCCTAAAGGAAATCAACCCTGAATATTCATGGGAAGGACTGATGCTAAAGCTGAATCTCCAACACCTGGCCACCTGATACGAGGATCCAACTCATTGGAAAAGACCCTGATGCTGGGAAGGACTGAAGGCAAAAGGAGAAGGGGCAGCAGAAGATGAGATGGTTAGATTGCATCACTGACTCACTGGACATAAATTTGAGCAAACTCCGGGAGATAGTGGAGGACAGGGGAGCCTGGCATGCTACAGACCATGGGATTACAAAGAGTCTGATATGACTTAGCAACTAAACAACAACAAAAAGTAAAGGTAATTAGTAACGTAAGTTCTTCTCTATATTTCTTCTACAGGCATCCCTTGGAGATATTGCAGGTTTAGTTTCATTGCAGGTTTAGTTTAGACCATTGCAATAAAGCAAACATCTCAATAAAGCAAGTCACACACATTTTTTGGTTTCCCAATGCATAAAAAGCTGTTTATACCATCCTGTAAATAGCACTGTGTCTAAAAAAACAATGTATACACCTTAATTTTAATATACTTTATTGCTGAAAAATGCTAACCATCATTTGAACCTTCAACAAGTCAATCATTTCTGCTGGTGGAGAGTCTTGCCTTGTTGTTAATGGCTGCTGACTTATGAGGGTGGTGTTTGCCGAAGGTTGGGTGGCTGTGGCAACTTCTTAAAATAAGACAACAGTGAAATCTGCCTCATGGATTGACTCTTCCTTTCACAAATGATTTCTCTGTAGCAGGCAATGCTGTTGGATAGCATTTTACCCACAGTAGAACTTTTTTCAAAATTAAAGTCAGTCCTCTCAAACCCTGCTGTTGCTTTATCAACTAGGTTTATGTAATACTGTAAATCCTTTGTTGTCATTTCAACAGTCTTCACAGCATCATCAGTAGATTCCATCTCAAGAAACCTCTTTCTTTGCTCATTTATCAGAAGCAGCTCCTCATCTGTTCAAGTTTTATCATGAGGTTGCAGCAGTTCAGTCACATCTTCAGGCTCCACTTTGAATTCTATTCATTCTCTTGCTCTTTCCACTACATCTGCAGTTATTTCTTCCACTGGAGTCTTGAACCCCACAAAGTCATCCGTGGGGAATGAAAGCCACTTCTGATAATGTTGATATTTTGGCCTCTTCCCATGAATCACAAACATTCTTAATGGCAAGCAGAATCCCTTCCAGAAGGTTTTCCATTTACTTTGCCCAGATTCATTAGATGGATCACTATATGTGGTAGCTATGTTGTTCATTCGCTCAGTCATGTCCGACTCTTTGTGACTCCATGGACTGCAGCCCGCCAGGCTCCTCTGTTCATGGAATTCTCCAGGCAAGAATACTTAAGTGGGCCGCCATTTCCTTCTCTAGGGGATCTTCCCGACCCAGGAGTCAAACCCGTGTCTCCTGCACTGGCAGGCAGATTCTTTACCACTGAGGCATCAGGGAAGCCCCACATAGGCAGAGTAGATTCAGCATAATTCTTAAATGCCTTAAGATCTTCAGAATGGTACATAAGCATTGGCTTCTACTTAAAGTCACTGCTGCAATAGCCCCTAACAAGAGAGATACCCCGTCCTATAAAACTTTGAAGCCAGGCACTCACTTTTCTTCTCTAGCTATCAAAGTCCTAGATGGCACCTTCTTCCAATAGAAAGCTGTTTCATTTATACTGAAGATCTCTTCTTTAGTGTAGCCACCTTCATGAATTATCTTAGCTAGATCTTCCCGATAACTTGCTGCAGCTTCTACATCAGTACATGCTACTTCACCTTGCAGTGGTGAAGAATCCACCTGCCAATGCACGGGACGTGGTCCCAGAAGATCCCACACGTGGCAGAGCAACTCATCCTGTGTACCACAACCAGTGAGCCTGTGCTCTCGAGTCTGTGCTCTGAAACAAGAGTTCCTCTACCATCCTTTCCATTTCAATTTCCTCTTTCTATTATTATGAAACATTCTTATTTCTCTCCCCATCCAGACGTTAAGTAAGAATTGAAACAAGTTCTGCTAGAGACTGTGTTCCCTCAACAAGTCTTTTCCAGCCAAGTAAAGAGAGAAGATAAATTTGGGGCTGGTCAAATGAGAAGCCGCTTTGTCCGGGGGATGGACCAGGAAGTGGCAGAAAATTCAGCGAGCAGCACCTATTCTCTGGGGGCGGTCCACCCTCAGTACCACCCCCACTGCTAACCTTCTGCACACATTGTCCACCCCACGTGGGAGTGAGAGCCAAGCCCCACCCCCGCACCTCGCTTAGGGAGCATCTGTCAATGAAGTTCCCCAGTTGGACTGAGACGGTCTACTCTTGCCTTCCTGCTGCAGTGGTTCTCAATCTGGAGGCACGATAAACACCCCCTGCCTGGGCTGACCCCAGACCAATTAAATCAGAAGCTCTGGCAGTGGGACCCGGACACTGGATTTTTAAAAATCTCTCAGGTGTTTCCAATTTCCAAGAGAGGTTGTGAACCACCAGCCCCATGGCCCTCTTTCCCTCCAAGTCCTCTGACAAGAGGCTGGGAGTGTCTGGGAGCTAGTGGGGAAAGCAGGGTGGGGAGTGATGGTGGAGAAGGGGAGGCTGTTCCTCTTCAGGTGGGAAGCTCCTTCCCAGGTATGACTTCCAGGTAGGTCAGCATTTTAAAATCTGGGCCCCCTGCCCCATTATC